TGGGATAATGTAAGTACACAAGTCAGCAAAATATATAACACTGTTTTAGTGGTTTTTGGATATTTTAATAAAAAAATCTTACATAGTGCCTTTAAACTGGCAACATTCCTCTAATTTTCACTGAGTTTGCATGATGGCGGGCCGCTCTAAGGTGACTGAAAGCCTGAGACAGGAGGTTGTCCAGATGAAGGCCGGAGACTCTCAATGTGGAATCGGTTCAGCACTGCAGCTGGAATTGCTCGTCAGTTCAGCGCTGATCAGGGTCTGGATCTGTCTCGGCTCGTTTAAGAGAAGTCGGACTGAAAGCACACTCTGCAGTGATCAAGCCTGTCATCAGCAGAAAGATTCAAAAGGCTAGACTCACCTTTGCTGAGGAGCATGTTGTGTGGAGAGAGGAGAACTGATCCAAAGTTCACTTTAGTGATGAGAGCAAGCTTAGTTTATTTGGGTCTGATGGGAAACATTATGATCAGCGTCAAACTGGGGAAAAACTGAAGCCGAGTGCGTAAAGAATCAGTGAAAGCTGGAGGGGGAAGTGTGATGGTTTGGGGAATGTTTTCTGCGGCAGGAGTTTGGTCTCTTATACAGATACATAGCAGGTGAATGCAAATGTTTATCAGAACCTCCTTCAGCATCATGCAGTTCCTTCCCTGCAAGCATCTCCCAATCAGCCAAAGACAATGTTCCCGTCACACTGCAAAACGGGTAAAGCAGTTCTTGAAGCTGAAAACACTGAAATAATTAAATGACCGGCCCAGAGTCCTGCTCTAAATACGACTGAAAATCTCTGGAAAATCCTTGGCGACAAAGTTCTGGCTAAGAAACCCACTACAGTCACCGAACTATGGAAGAGACTGGAAGAAGAGCAGAGCAAGATCACAGCTGCGCAGTGTGAGAAACTAGAGATGTGCTGAAGTCACTCAAAGCAGAGCCTCGACAATTCCTACTGATTTCTGACAGCTGTAACCCTCCAAAATATCAGTCATAATCTTCTTTCCTGCTGCAGTGGTTCCTGTTCTCTAATTTTTATCACTGTGTTTTCCACAGAATAAAGTTTTTTGTTGAAATGCTTTGGTTATTTTGTCAAACATATTAG